AACGGGAAATATGGGCCCCAATATACTACAAGTTGTGCGAAATAATTAATCACCACTTACACTCGTGATTCACTCCATTTCAGTACAAGTGTAAGTCGTTCTCACTCACTGCTCACAAAGATACGAGCAGAATTTTCCTCGTAGTTCATAAAGCGTACAGCAAAGTTTCCATCTATCGTTATCTCATTTTCAAATTACTCACATTTTTACATGATCTACTTTTAGTGGCATTCACTGATTCCCTCTATTAAGACGCATGTACCAAGGTGTTATCGTATTCAAAAACACTTGTCTCTCTAATATAAGGGGCATTAGGAAATTTTAAAGTGTTTATGTAATAAATGGACGTTTGAAAACCGTCCAGAATAACTCTGTTAAGTAGATGCGTAGTAATAAAGATTCACCAGTAACTGACAATTTAGCATTGGTAAAGTAAATCATTTAAGCATAATACTGTTGTTTATGATATGACAACATTCTGTTTGTTCAACATTTACTTCCATGGATTGGGGACATAATAGTGTGCAATTCATACGATTGAAATGCTTTTTGATTGCAATGAATGGGTTTGATTTAGCTTGTGGGAACCATCTGTATCGCTTGAATTTCTTGTGCTCTAAACTTTGGCTCAGGAGATTGACTGCACAGTACACAAATGAAGGTAGCCTAAGTCGCCTGAGTATTGCTTTCTCCATCCTTCACAGTCGTCTGGATACTAGTTAGTTGACTGTTGTTACCATTAACACCTACGGCCCATTTTCGTACGTTTCCCGTCACTCATGAATAATGGTGTCACGAAGATTTACTGTGCCGTTTCATGGTAGCCTGTGATCTCGGGCGCAGAGCAACAAACAGTGAACTGCTTGGTGTTCCATCGGGTTCCAGTTAATCTCCTTGAGGTTTTTTTGGCTCTTCACTGCGCTGGTGTTCCGTTTAAACCCTGTGAAGTTACTGACATCATGTTTTTGTGTGGTTTACCATCAATTTTTTCTCTCACCTAGCAAACGTTCCTCTGTTTAACCGCCCTTGATTATACGTTAGCATACACGACTGATAATTCCTATCAGACACAAAGGTGTTCAGTACATCTTGCCGATCGTTGCAATACTATTGAAATGCTACACTCCCATCCTTCCGTGTTTGGGATAGCGCCCGGAACACCGTGCATAGATTGCAATCGCGCCGCCGTCGGCGAATGCATAGACATTCTGCTCGTCTGACATTCATGTTCGTTGAAATCAGATATAATTTGCTAATCTGTGCAAATTTGTTGTGCTTGCCACTAAAAGCTCGACAAGATGATGCTCACGTTCTCTTGAACCAAACACAACTTTTGAAGCAAAACCATCGAATCTAATGTTATTTGGTGTAGACACTAAGTGGATGAGAACGTACTTTTTGCCTGCTACACATACGCGATATGTATTTGTCTGCTTTTTTCGCTGTTCTTGATTGTTTTCTTTAGTTAGCTCCCCTGATACGAGTCAACGCAACAGTTGACCAATTTTCTTCATTTGTCTCATCTTGTCCGTACGTATACGCAGTCCAACCTCGTATTATGCCGCACGATTCTTGTGCTAGAATAATCCTCCAGATACTAGTGTTGGTGTTGTCGTTGTTGGTGACGAAGGCGGCCGAAAAGGCTCTGGCATGCATCTTGTCAAACTACTTGTTGCCCGTACTTTGTGTTTCATCTGACCTGCGATCCGAAAGCGAAATTCGTCTTCCGGATTTCGTATAGCATGCCAGAACCCATGTGGTGCACTGTCAGCAAAACCTGCATCGACCCGAATTGCAGTCAACCTGACCCGTTGCCACCATTCTGTGTGTTTGCTTATGCGTGCAGGCTCTTACTCTTATTCGATACTTTAGGTAAGTGGTTGTGTTGCACGTAAACATACACTGTGTTGAACACAAATCACTTATGCTATTTTGAGTGAATGGAACACAATCAAGTTATACTCGTAACCTGGTCTATTTGGCAAGCAGCGTTTCCGTTTGTTGATCGCCTTCACACCCTTATCCTTCCCATTAGTATGTAAACGACTAAAGTCAAAGCAAGCGCCGAATGGTGGTGCATAGCCCAACTAGTGTTATTCATTGTGCTTTTTGTTCGCCAAATGCGATTATCAGGTCTATCTCCCTTTAAAAGTCGAAGAACTAATAGGACCAAGAGCCTTCGCCTTCTTTTACATTTTTCAGTGTGATTTTTTCATGGTACACATCATTCTGATGAATAGTAGAAGAGATGAACCTCAGAGCTCAGTTTAGTTGCACTGTTCGGTCCTGGGACCAATCGCGAACCAGACTTAGGTTCACTGAATCAAACGACAATAAAGATAGGTCTTGAGTCATCTGTCAACTTTCATGGAGCGGTATGGGATGAGTGAAAAGTAAATGGTAGGATCTTCCTTACAATGTTCTCACTTGTCTCCGGGTCTCGTTTTTGCTCGGCACGCATCACACTAAAGTAAGTTATCAAATATGCGTTAGTTTTTCTGTATTTATTTATGTAGGCATTTTGTTCTCTCTATTTCCTGTGTGTTCATTCATGTTAGCATGCCTCCTGTCCACCTGCGCTCTCTCATCTCAGTCTCACAATGTCGGGGTTCTCACAAATCGTTGTATTCATGGCGTCATGCGGCGTCAGTTCACTCTGCGATTAACTCGTGCTGAATTGGACAAAACAGCCAAAAGCAAATTTCGCCGAGTACTATCACGTGACTTTACGGTATGTCAGGGTGTTAGTCATGTAAACCGCTTTTGTGTGAATGCTACAAGCCGTTCGGTACTTTTTCATTTACCCCTTCTCATACATAACGTTGTCGCAACCTTCTCTTCGGTACCGTTTGCAGCACCATAATCCCAGGATCTCAGTTAGTTGGGCACGTCAAGTTCCCAAGCTTAGGTTACGGTTTCACATGGCTGTCTACGCAGCTTGTTCTAGCCACTGACCATCGCACTAAGATTCGTCATAAAAATGTTTGTATTCTGTTCGCTAATCTGTTCATTCAAGTTGAACCAATAATGAACGTCACTGAGTACTTTCTTACACAGGACCGGTCTTAGGTTTTATTTTTTCACAGCCCATCTACCTGTCTGCATCTACTATCTTGCAAATGTGCATTATTTCACAAATCTTCATGTACCTCAGTACAGATCCGAATAGTTTTTCGGATCCAGTTCACCACCGCTGTCACCATGTATTTTTGTCTCCCTTGAAGCCCTGTCGACATGCTCATTTCACGCTGATTATTTCATATACCTACCAATTTAGAAATCACTCTGATTCGTTGGTTTCTTTCATGTGAAGGTTGTTTATCAATTATTCAGAATTATTCTGTTCAATGATCTTCAGGACTAATGCAGTTGACCGAATGTTTTCGATCGAGACTAGTTGTTGCTCGCGGTCTAAAACGCTTGTGCACTTCGGGGGCCTAGGTTTTGAACCCTAGCACCCAATTTTGGTGGTAGATGGTTGCATTTTTATACGACCTAATACCACACCTATGTTGATGATACCTTTTACGGTTCGCCAACCCCAGTCTTGTAGCCTAGGTTATCAGCTATCATAACTAGATAGCAGATATTGCTGCAGTCCGATTTCTCACTTGGTTCTCTTTTTAACAAAAGGGTGCCACTGAAAGCCTGCAATTTTGTATTACCCCATTTGATTCTTTGTTTTCTAACTTGTCTCGGTGTCACGATGCATTGTTTCACACCCCGTTTATTAAACCGAATCATGTACATAGCCGGGGAAAACGGTCTATGACCTCCCGCTAAGAATATTAATGCTGAAAACTGTTACAGTGCCAAGTATGTTCGCTGTAGTTTTTTCTTGGGTCCAAAGGTTCTCTGGCTACCCATCTGTGATGAATCTCTACCTGTCACATGATACGGGATGACAGCTGTCAGTATAGTTTGATATTCTGAATGAAGAACAGAAAGAAATATGATCAGGCGAGTAGATAGTTCTTAGTCTTAGTATGAACGGTAATCACACTTCAAGATTACCATGTGGACTTTACCCGAGACCATCGGCGTGACGTGGCACCACTACCAGTGTGGAACAGGTTACAAATAAAGTAGGTAGAAATAACTAGTGAACATTTAAATTAATATTTTAAATGCCATTGCGAATGAAAATTTGACAAACGCTGAACAGCTGTCTCATTTCTATTGTGTGTCGTGGGCGATCGAGTTGCTGAAAGTAAAGTTGCATAATTCACACGTACTCACAGTCCAGTATGTCACGTTCTTCCCGAATCTTCTTATGGTAGTTCTTGCACACAGCCACTTTTTCGAAGTTAACACTAGCCAATCGAGCCGGTTAAATTGAACAGCTTTCGATCTTGGCAGCGATCAGTGAAGCTCGCTTCACTGTGTCTCGCTGTACGATGATGATGATCTTCAATATTTCGTTATAGATAAAAATCTTCCGGCGACAGTTAACGTTATCACACCTTAAGCATGCCTCTTAATGTGTTGCAGCAAGCTAGGATTGGGAATGTTTTGGTGAGCGACATTATCGGGTATTCTTATTTATTCAACAGATAATCTTTTCAAGTACCTATCTCTTCCCTTTGCATTGACTTTATTCACTCCTTCTAACACATGCCAAACTCTTCCGTGTACCTCAACCTCCATTTGTGACAAGAACGCTCTTTATTGCAATGTTCCTATGTGGATGATATATACTCTTTCAGTTCAGCATCAATGTGCTATCTGGTGTGAATTCCTGTCTGAGTTTCCGTTTCTTTTAGTGAGGTCTGACAAATATTCCACAGGTCGCTTAGGTCGAAGCGAGGTGCTTGCGAAAGTTTAGCTCAGGTGTTTATTTTGGTCTTGCATTAGTTTCGAATAGTGAAACTTCAGCTGTGTCCGACTCACACGCGTGCAACGTTAATGTGGTCAGATAAATCGCAAATCGTTATTTGTAATGTGGGACATCAGAAGCATCAGATTGATAACAATGATTACTGGAACAGCCGAATCGTCGGTTTTGACGAGTTGCATTATTCGTACAAGGATATGGCAGTTAGGATTATTCCAATTAGCGTAACACTTCAAGACTTGCCACAAATGACGCTGTTCTTTGAGTATCTGCTATCCCACCATTCATGTCTAATGTCGTCGATCGTGAACTATCAGAGAACACCCTAAGGGATCTCCAAAATGTTGTCATTAAGTGGTCAAATGGTGAGAAACTGTGGCACCTAGAATAGGCCGACGGCATCGTTTGTCTCTTTAATGTATGGGTGGTGCGCAAAGCGCGCTTGCCAGACACTAACAAGGCCTCACTTCGTTGAATGTACACTGCACCTCCGGAGTGATTCTGTAACGCTGACTGATCACTGACCGTGCTTTGTAACTAGATGGTCATAGTCGATTCCTTTCCCTATCTTGGCAGTTACCTGAGAAACGACCTTAGCGCAGTATATGTGACCATGTGCATTTGCAACACTTGATCGACGTCCACGTTTGATCTGGTCGTGACATTTATTGAAATGAAAAGATAGTGTCCGTTGCTCCACAGTGCTATCAGTTCTACTTTACAGTTACGAGACCTTTTGTTTGTGTTTAAAGATCCATCGATTAGAGGTATTACATCAGTGTTTACTTAATTTGACACAGACAGCGTGTTAGAAAACTGGAGGTAAGCTGCCGTGTGCTTGAGAATGCATCGGTGATAAATACATGATCACGTCGAATTCGAATGAGTAAGCTTTATTTCCTAAGTCACATATTTCACCTACCAAATAGTCGCGCTTCCATTAAAACAACTACGGTCAGTTGACCTACTGAGCCGAAATCCATTCCAACTTACTTCGTATATGAGTGCGGCAATCAGAAAACCAAGCACCCCGGTAACTACTCATCATGAAAGAAAACAGCTTCATAAAACCGGTCTACCAGATAAAATGAAACTGCTGCTGCTTCTCGGGTATGCCTCCCAATTGATGAAGACCACTTCCTGAATGACAGTCACTGACATTGAGTCCTCAAACGTTTTTAGAAGTCAGCTTCGTCTCATGCAAATTAGTTGAACAATAAAACTCATCCGCGTCGTTCATTGAATTCAGTGTAATCTATTAAATCAACAGATCTGTATGAAATCAAAATGTTTTGCAGGGGAATAGTTTGTTCCTCGTGTATAAAACGTAATATTTAGGGAAGCTTTTCGAAATCTTGAAAGAAAACAATAAGGCTTGCAGATGTTTTCGAGAGAGATAAAATTGAAATATCGGAATACAAATCACCTGATGTTGGAATACCGTAACAAAGTGGAGATTCATCTTGTAAACATTTGGAGAGATTTAATTTGGGAATTAGCACTCGCCGAACAAATGCAAAGAAACGGGTGCAATGCATCACAATCGCCTTACTGAATCGTCGATGAAATAACTTGAATGTGCAATCACCATTCGGTCCACTTTTTGCATATCGCGGTAGCTAGGAACAGTAAAATCCCTCAGATGCTACACTTATTGCAGCATAGCAAACATACGAAGAGTTCAGTCGTCGTCATCATTGGTAAAGTTCGAACACAAAACGAATATGATTTTTCTGATTTACTCTTGACCTAAAGAGATTTTTGTATCAATCGGTGAATTCCCCGAAATATATGATGCACTAACCTCCCACTTGATCCGATAGAAATGTAATTCGTTGTATGACTCCTGTTTGTAATGCGTACTTTGTAGATCCATGGGGAAACTGGATGAGGTTGATTGACCAGATTCTACAAGGCTATATCTACGTATACTGAAACACGCAGTCGTACGCGGATGATGAATAACTAGCGAATGTGCTAAAAAAGAATAGTTTTCACTCACTCCCTAATTGATCATAAGCACGTAAGATGACAATGGATGCACGTGGCGTCCGAAGTCACGCCATCGCATTTCGTAGATGTGGGTGTTGAAAAATGTGATGCTCGCTGATGCTGAAGGTGTCGCCGCCTAATCGCAAATTAGGTAATATAGTCATGCTTCACGGGCTCCGTCGACCATACATTTATTATTATGGCGTGAATAGCATACAAGACCAAGTAGACTTCGAAGATATAAAATCAATAATCCGGTCATCTCCCTGAACATCACTCCTTATTGACCGCATGGTATTACTTACTAGTTTGGTGAGGTGCTACTCTCTTTGCTTGTGAGTAGTGAGTAGTATTTCCTACGCAAACATTTAAACAGTGTTCGGTTCATCACGACATCTCTTTTTTAGATGACTTGCTGGGTTCTTCGTTGCCCGATTTATCGTCTGTGTATTCCGTTTATGTAATTATCCATTCCTCAATTCGGTGCCCTAGTTGTGAACTTGTAACACAAGTGCAGTTACGATACTGATTGTTCTGCATCGAACCACACAGAAGCACTGGACACGACCTTCAGCATCCATCACTTCTTACTGATTCGTTCACCACAGTGGCTTATCCACTCTCTCACAGTCTTTAATTTGTGCCATTTTCAAATCACTCAGTGTGGTTTCACCCAAAATGGATCTCAAAACGTACACAAACTTCATACAGCATCTCATCGGATAATTTTCATATTTGTTTTTGTTTCTCACGGTAGTGATCCACCACACTAATTTCCAAACTTGCAACATCTTCATCCGACGATGGTTAACCCCGCCATAACTGTGTGAACGCATTCCGTGTAATTTAACTCGATATCACATCTGTCTAATCGAGACCGTTTAAAGTTTGTTATTTAAATGCTGTGCGCTTTCACCTAGCATTCATTTCTTTCATTACCATCTACAATAGCAGTGAAAAAAACTTCTAGCTTCTGTACCTATGTCCTTAAAATTCTGGTGTTTCACTAAAATAGATTCTAGATGCGCGTATTGGTGATAAACTTGGAGGATATAATCCCTCCTGGAAGAAAGATGTAATTTTGATGTGTGAATAGTCGCGCTTTCACCGCTCGCTTACAGAATACCATAGCTTGCAGATGCCTTGATAATCTGACCTCCACAATCCCTCGGGTTTGGGACAAATGTGTTGGTATCATTGGTAGAACTTGATAGTTTTCTTCCTAAACTAATCAAACGTGCATTCTGTCACAAGTCATGGTCAGCACGTGATCAGCTCTTCATTCCTGTTCTCTCAGTTACTGTCGAACCTCTGACTGGCGTCTCTGGACGAACATTTTTGAAGACCGTTTTGTCGCTTGCTACCAGTTCCTCATTTGGGCATTCTTTTAAGTTTGAGTTTCTTCTGCGAACATTGAGGACACGGGTTTCACTTTGAAAATTCGAGATTCATCGCACCATAGTTTATTATATGCATTGGCTTAGAAATCCTCAATTTCGCAACCGTATAGATATTCTCCATAACCTGGTAATCAAAGCAATAAGAACTTATTTTTATTTGTCCTGAAAAGCGTCTCTGAACTCAGTCTATCAATTTTTCACTGTACCTTCTCCGACCCATAGATCACGTTTGTATTTACGGCGGACGATTGTTCCCGTTGTGCTGGTCCCATAACACCAATTGGACAGAGTAGTGCCGCCCCTACAGAAGAGACTCGAGCGACCGGGTCGAAAGTTACAACTACAGGGAATACGACATCTCCGTCCCGAAGCGGGCTGGCGTCACTGGCAGCTACTTTGAACTTTCCGGCTTCGCTCTCATTTGTGCATACGCGTAGTTTGCGTGGCTCATCACACACCAAGACCGCGAAACCTGAAAATGTTACATCTTACGAGAAACGAAATGCATCGTCGTTACCCAAACGACGTAGCAGTGATCTGGGGCAATCTGGTTTGGTTCATCATGAACCTTTTCGGTCCGCTGATACCACAACTCCTTCACCATCTCCTTTACAGCCGTCAGTTCCACCAGCCAAGTCACTGGTTGCTGAAGAACCCAGCTCCGATGAAGAGGTGGATACCACGGATGAAGAGGAGGACGAGGAAGTCGACGTGTCCGATCCTGAGGGACTGGGTTCGCACAGCGCAGCATCAGACCCAGCTGTCGAGACCCGATCAAATACCACCGGCTCACAACCTTACGCATCTTGCTTGACTCCACCAACCAGCTCACTTTCACTGAATGCCATCGATCAGGCTCGTCCTACTAAACCCGCAACTCCTACTGTCCCACAAAGCAGATCGATGGTTCACTTTAGTCGCTACTCTTCACTGCAGCTGAAAAAAATGAAAACCCCGGGTCAGCAGTCGACAACGGCTAACTCTGCTGATCGTCGTACTCCGTTCGTGTCATCTTCTGACCGCGGGCCGGATAACCAAAGTGCCCCTTCCTCCAGTCCCGTCCGACATCACTACTCTAGGCTTGCACAGTCGGTGGTAAACACAGATAGCAGTCAGTCACCGAAAAAAACAACCGAGGATGCTTACTCACGATTATGAAGTAAACCATATGTATCTTTTCATTTCTCTTTTTTTGTTCCGCTCAAACTGCTGAATCACATCCCAGTAGCTTTCATCTGTGATCTCTCGTTGTAGTCTTTCTGTTTTGCACCTTCGCCTCCCAACAGCGAATCTTGTGGAAACAGGGAGATAACGCGCACAACCACGCATGGAACTTCTATGCCCTGTCCTCGTCTATCATTAGCTTCCGTTCTTCACACCGCCTGTTTCTCACCCACTCTCTTGCCTCGCTTATGATTAAGAGAATATTTTTTACACTCGTTCCGTCGGGACACCCTATACATATCTTCGCTACCCATATTTTTCCCTCGCTCTTCGCTTCTTTTTCATATGCTACGAGTCTCATATTTTCGCCCGTTAATGTGTAAAAATAATCATTATAATTATCACTATTATTGTTATTGTTGTTTACTTTGTACAGCGCATCGGTCTAAATTATTTAGCGCGCTCTTCTTCCTGCCCCATCGGACTCCGTGTAACTTCGCCTGTTTTTGTCTCTCACTTTTGGCTTGTAAATACCTTTATGAACATTCTCCCATAGATGTTTGGCGGTTATTTGTCCCCGATATCATTTTCTAGGAGACAATATGATAGCTCCTTCTTCCGGAACAATTATCTACTCTATAGCAGAAATGTTGTTTTATTTAAGTACTACCCCATCTGTTTTCTCATTTTATTTCTGGTCTCGGTCTCAGTTAATACTCGTCGCTTCTTTAATCCTTGCAATGTCTTGTATGAGATCAATGCGGGCCCAATTTATTTTATTCTTATTCGGTTTCTCCGGGAACCTCATACTATATTGACCAGTGAGTGAAGAGGTAATCATTTGGTCCACAGAACAGTCAGATGTACTATGTGTCATGTCGCCTTTTAATCCAGCCTACTGAGTCTGGCTGGTTACTGCAGTCAAATACATACTTCCACTTCGAATGATCGCAGTTGTTTTCTCGATCCTGCCATACGTGTTTTCAAGAGACTGTTGTGTGGGAAGCTGGATCCGCAACGTTGCAAGACCACCAATGCAAATCATGATTTAAACGTGTATGGGGGCAACAATGACGCGATTCGCAGCATCATTAGCATGGCAAAAGGGGTGAATAGTCAACCTAAAGTATAGCTCATTATCGTAAACACACGTGTAAGTGGTGTTTGCGTTGTACCCCTGAGGTTGCTGGTTGGAAATGATTGGGTCGATCACTGCGCACTGCTATTCGGACCCAGCCAGTTGATACAGCTGTGAAGTGCTCCCTAGCCCGGTAGTTTCGCCTCATTTATTGTGTATGACGAATTCATCGCACACATGTCATGATTAGTTAAATTTAGTTCGATGAAATTATGGGGATTTGAGGATTGCTAGTTCAATCGTATGTTTTGCGTGGCTCAGACAAGCAGCACGCCAGATGTTCTGGATTCCAAATCTGTGGATACTTTTGCGTTTAGCTCTTCACCAATCGCTTCTACGCGCTTTTAGCCACCCAGAAATAACAACCACACCGGAGGTTCGATTGGTAAAAATGCGTAGTAGCTGGTGAAACAAGCGAAGTGATTTTAGAGGTAATGAACTGAGTGGTGGCCGACCTCGGTAATGATAGCCCTTGCGCTCCACCCCATCTGTTGCGGATACCGATGTGCTTGACAAGCACACATGATTATGCGATATTGTCCAAAATGATGCGAAATGATTAACAAAACGGTCAAATGGGAACTGAGAATTCCAGCACAATTCCACGCGGGTTTTTTTTGACGAGAATTCCATTTCTGTAAACTAATAATCAAGGAATATGCCGTATTACGACTCTTTGAAAAACCGTTGTGGTAATTTACATCGGATTTAGTTTGTTTCGGTTAACACGAATCTCTCAAGGTCAGTTTGACTTGGGTGATCAACAGTGCCTCGACTATCCTAACTCAGTTTGTTACGATGACGCGACAAAACCGAGAACGCGACCGAAGCCAGTTTACGAAAAAAATCCCTCACAGTAATTGTCGCTTTTTGCCCATATTTCCAGTACGAAAAGGCGAATACTTATCACCCCAGTGGTGTCTGGTTTGTCCAAGGGCAGTTTTAGAGGGATTGGGCGTACACGACAGTCTGTCAGGCAATTAACCCAACAGATGAAGGAACGCAGTCCACGCTGGATAACAGACAGCATAGGCAGCGACATTCTGGGTCATCAAATTACACTAGAATCCGCGTTCATGGCAACCCATACCACTCTGCTCATTTGTTTACTGCAGAATCATCACTACAACTCCATGTCTCCACTGGAGACTCTATTGCGAAATACCTTCGAGGGAGTTCGCATACTATGCAATAGGTGAATTGATGCCTTTCGGGAGTACTGTTTTTCTGTGTAAATTTAGTGCCACGACTATTTCTGTGTAAAAAGACGAAGTCAATATTTTCCGTCACCCGTTATTCATTCCATTCCGTTAGGTAAACCTGTTCCGACGCTATAGTGAGATAATCATCACCATCACAATGATAATACCAACGGGAAATTCAGAATATGTTTAGTCCCAGCGTTAATTTGGTGCCTTCAACAAAATCCCCAAGTACTCAGTCCAAAAGCGCTCATCTATTGAGAAAGAACTATTACCAGCACAAGGTTGCCGGTACAATAACCGGAACTGCGTAATACCATTGTTTCCTTTTTCATGTGAATACTAACCTTACTGCCGATTTCTTAGTTTCTTCTTCTGGTATCCCAACTGAGACCTTCAAGCTATGCAACACTGATATTTGGGATGCGCAGTGTTCTCTTATAGAGAACGAAACTTGCGGAATTCCGCTTAGTTCTTACATTCGGTACAATGCATCTTCATGCAACTCCATTTCGCAATCGGCTCCAAAGATTGGCCTTGTTCATTTCGTCATAAGCCCAAATGTGGTCTTTTTCCCCTGTTTGGTTGGCTGTTCACTTAGACCGTACATTTTAGTCACACTAACTTGCTGCTCACCGAACTGTAGAAACTAAAATGAATTTCTAGTCAATGGAGACATTTCACCATGGCAGAAGGCTGTCGAATTTTGAGGACAGCCGGGTGAAAGTGCTCTTCGGAACATCCCTCATTCGGGATGATAAGCAGGAGGAAATGGAATTCAATGTTTCTAAATGTGAAGTCCTATCCCTACGCCACAAGAGAAGATTCTCGCATTTTCTCGGAACTCAGCAGCCACCAAATAATTCAAGTGAAAACACTTGGGTATTGTTGTTCAAGATTTAGCTGCTCGATCGACTGCGCTAAGGCTTCGTCCGCTGCTGTGAAGAATGGATTTACTTTACTTTACTACGGCTGGCTCCTTGGAAAGGATAAGCCAGCTACATGAAATAATCATGAAGGTACTTGGGAGTTCAATACGAAAAACGTCCCCAGCGTCACTCGGCGTTTCTTTATTTTGAGGGCATTCCTCTAGCCTTTGCACAACCAAGTGCGAACTGCAAGGCAGCAGGGAGTAAACCCTCGGCTCCGAAGTGAGGGGGTCAATGACTTTGGTTTTAAAAGGCCAGTCACATCGACCTTTGTCACGATACCGTCATCGGGCTTATGTGGCTTTTAGACAGGAGCCAGCTGACCAGCCTGAAATCCACCACACCCTGATAATGCCCCCACTGTTTGTTCGCGACTACTTACCACAACTTATTCACAGCTAACCTTCTTCGGTGAAGATATCCTCCTATCCACAACCCGGAGACGCGCCTGGTAACATTCAGCTCTGCTTTACCCGGTGTGAAGAATATAGACTTAATTAGGCGAATCTTTGGTCGGTTTGAATCAGCACTGTCTCCATGTTTGCTATCAGTGTACATTCAACCGTACACAGAGTACGCCATCCAAGCTTGGAGCCCATGGTTGTAACGTGATCGCAAGATGCTTGAGGGCCCACGAAAGATGGTCAAGGGATTGCATTTCCTCATCTATGAGGAGAGGTTACGATCATTGGGACTATATTCTGCTCAGCACCGCCGAATTCGAAGAGACTTAATTTTGACGTAGCGAATACTACAGAACCCGAACCATCTATGTCGGCAGCTGCTCATGTTATCGATTAATGTACACCTTAGGGGACATCGTTTCAAGCTACTGATTCCGAAGTGTCGACAGGAATACCGAGTCAAACTTTTGCAGTCACAGTAGGCGATACTTGGAACACCCTTCCATCTCACGTCGTCTGTGTAACAACTATTGAATATTTCAAGCGAAGACTCGAGGAAACCTTGGTACACATCACATTCCTACACCATTAAAGCGAAAGCAAATTCACTGAAGTCTACATTTTATGTAATCTCCTATCTGGAACTGTATGTGATTTTTTCACCGTGACATGATTCAATTGTATAAATATCCTATGCGGACAAGAGAAGCATGAACATGTAAGTAATTCCCATAATAAAACTTTGACTTTGGGGTATTTCGTTCAACACATCGCTAGTGCATAACTTAGTTTGTGAGCACTAAATGATATTGATTCCTACGTTTGACAGAACGCTAAACCGACTTATTTGTTTAAACGGATATGAAGTAAGCATTATTAAATATGCGATCGAAAGGCCTCTCGGGGAAACACGTATTCCTGTCTGGTATCCAAGAATGGCGTAAAATCAGCCACAGACTTTTAGTCCTTTGCAAGCAAGCACGCCGAAGTTTTATCCCGTTAGCAACTGTTTATCATGTCGGAATCGCGTTTCAAGTGGGGGGAAGGAACTAGCCACAAAATCTGTCGAATAACACTTTGTGAATCACTGCTGGCGCCAAATTTTAAGGACATTTATTTCCGTTGGCAGTGGATGAGCTCTGGCTCAAAAATATTTCGCGAAACCCCTCAAGTCGATTTGATATAAGCAATAACGTAAAATGGCCGAGTTTGATTGGTTACAGTATCCTAGATTGATTACAAACGAACCAAGCACAACGGACAATCGGCGCCCGTACTCAGTCTTGAATCAGTATTACACAAGCCAATACTTTACGCATACCGTATGTTTGATCGGTACGAGTGATCGAATGAAATGAATGACAGATATACGCGATTCGTGGACCCTGCGCTGAAACACGAAGAAAGCGATACATCAAAACTAGTCGTTCAAATAATTAGCACCTGTATGACTTAAAATCAGTCGGGGACACAGTTTATGAGTTTGTGGACTAGATTTGGCTGCTCGAAAGAAAACCATTTACAACGACCTCCACAGATCAGTGGGGCCTGGTCCATTCCACTGAATGGAATCCCTGGTGAACCAAAATAATGTGAATTATGTACAATTCAGGTCCCGATTGCATTCACTCGATTGACACTGGGCGCTGGCTGGAGAGGGCGATTGAATGTATGGTCGGTCAAAGATACGCCTGACACCGGTTTGCTCGGAAACACTTCCATGTGGTGCAATATCTCAAAGTTCCGAGTGCGTTCCACTATCTGCATGACAAGGAAGAAGATGAACGGTATCAGATTACTGACAATTCGTCAGACACCGATTCTATATGGTAACAATGTTTAACTAGACTAATATTTCACTGGTGGAATAAAAAATTGCGTACACTTGGATACCCAAAACAGCCTTTCAGTTTACGCTTTTCCTTGGCCCTGTACATGATGAAATTCGCTGCAAAAAATAAAACCTTGAACAAACGACCAAGACAGCATCAAGTTCCCTAAGGGTGCAATTGAATGGTGGAACCATTTAGGGGAATGAAATCACGAGCGATTGCAAGAAGTTGAGAGTCAACTTTAGTTTCCACCCTCAAACATCGGGTAATTTTTCTATTCGTCGACAAAAAAGATATTTTGACGGAAATTAAAGAAAAAAAGTGGTATCAAAAAAGCAACATAAAACACTGAAAGCAAGAAAACTAGGTCTGCGTGGAGAGTTGGAAGTGCGTCCTGATCCACGGATTCGTCAACAAAAAAGGAGATTGAAAAGGAGCTGTACGTTTCCAAACAACAAACGTGATGAGATTAAAAAACGTACCGCAGATCCCTTTAACAGACGAAAGAAAAGTTGTCGCAAGAGAATTATGCTTCACTATTTGAACCGTATCTCCTACATGGAGGCAGCTGACAGTTGTAGCGCTTTTAAAGACCAGCTGTCGTATTGTTTCTTACAATTCGACATGCATGAGTCTGATTGCGATGGTGCGGTAATAGTTAGACGCCATTTCCTCAGGTAGATTGGCTCCAACTCAAAGCGCAAAACCTATGAAGGGTGGAGTGGGTTCCATGCGAGCTATGATTGCGTACATCTAGCCTTCAACCTCTGTTAGCTCTCAGACCTTTATAACGCAGATCAAATGATAAACTATAGTCTTGTTTCCGGACATGAAAGCGGACTTCCATTTCGAGCGGATAAGGATCGCTATTCTGTATTCGACAATAATTATCTAAGCAGAGTCGAATGCACACAGTGAGAGTACCGAGTGATTTTCGATTAGGTCAATGTAGTTTGGGGCACTTTCTGCGAATAGCTGGACAAGTTTGATAGTACCTTGGTTTAGCTGAAAACATTGAACCAGAGTGGGACAAAAAGCGAGGTGAGACAGCTAGGATTTGGGATAGAGGTTGAATAAGCTGTGTTTGAATCTTATTTCGATTGAACTGCCGTTGGACAAGGCGCCACGGATATGCATGGCACACATACTTTTTCATTTTTTTTATTAATTATTATTAACTATGCACTTTAGGACGGCGGTTTCGGTTGTTATCTCTTGGTTGCCCATTTGGATGAAGGAGCAAGAAGTATGTTGAGCTATTCAAATCACTGTCGGAGTGAAAATAGAGAATTTGTGAAGACTAAGGTTTCAAGTACATTGAGATGCACAAACGTCACTGTTTACGACTTTCAACCGTATCACTCAGTGTATTTAACCATTGATTAAAATGATCTCAGAGTCCCCATCTAAGGAGCATAGCGCGACCAACATGATCGAATCTCCTGAAAAGAGTTTTCAAACCCTCGTGCCAGGTTTAGTTTAACTCTTCTTGGATATTTCCCACCCACTACCTGCCTCAGTGAACATTGTATACCGCGGGAACCTAT